CCAGTCCCCAGTCACACACACACACATCCAGTCCCCAGTCACACACACATCCAGTCCCCAAGTCTCTCTCACACACACACACACACACACAACACACACACACACAACACACACACACACACACACACACACACACAACACAACACACACACACACACACACACACACACACACACACACACACACATCCAGTCCCCAGTCACACACGCACACATCCAGTCCCCATCTGACCTCACATTTCGATAATAATATGTGTGTTCAACGAATTAACATATTGATAAATGTACTATAAATCATGTTTATTCATGTTCATGCCGCACATTGCAAAACATCAGCTTCGGGCAAGCATTTATCTTTTGGAAGAAAGATACTAGTATATGAACTAGCCATGCAGACATAAATCACAAACGCCTGGCAGCTGTGCTGTACGTAAATATTAAGCTCCAACAGTCCAGTGTCATGCATATTCACGACAGGTGGGTGCGCCACGCTCATGTCACAACACAATGTCAGTAACGCGGGTCTTCTGCGTTACCATGGTGATCAGATATCAATATGTTTTTTTCGGTAAACCGATACTCTTAGATAGCATGCATATCAATTGGATATTTTTAAACTTAGCGATACGGAATGAGGCTTGCGGACCGGTGGGTATTCGAGGTATAGATTTCATAATGTTTTAGCTTGTTGTGTTGGTCTTGCGCGGTTTCCTCAGTATACGATATGATTCGTGGTGTCACTTCTTAGAAGAAAAGATCAACTGCAAAACAGTTTCAATAAGGCATGATATGCGTTGTGTGTTAGTATGTGTGTAACTGAAATATGTTAAACACAACTCACATACTTTTAAATCAAGCCTTTCAAATTACAGGTTTGGGAAAATCAAATCAGGTGAAAATAGAAAGCAGTGAGTTACCTGCTTGACGACTTGACGAAAGGGTAATCACTCACCCACTTGCAGTTTTTAATTGTTTGTGGTTTGACGTGGCATTCAGTGCGTCGCTGTGGTCAGGGCCGAAGCCCCATAGACAATAAACGGTCAAAATGCCGAGCGCGAGCACCCATCGAGCGGCAGTGCTGAACTGCACCTGATTACTGACCTGCGCGCTGACACGTGCTACCACATATATCGACACTTCTCTTATACAGACCATGGTACAAAACTATCCGAAAATCCTGTGCGTGCCTTCCACATTCCAGGTTTCTTCATTCAGGCTGAAAATATGGGTATATATGTGAGCTCTTTTTTAATATATATATTTAAAGAAGAAAATCTAAATACAGTAAACTACGGTTATAACGAACACGCTTATAACGAACTGACGGATATAACGAACTACTTTTTTGGTCCCGACTATTTGGTGTAGTTATGCTGTATATATGCTTATAACGAACTACGGTTAAAACGAACTAAAATGAGTAGTCCCTTTGAGTTCGTTATAACCGTACTTTACTGTATATATTTTATTTCAGAGGCTAATGTAGTATTATGTATAAAAGTACATTAGTCCTTCCGTCAAAGAATGAATAACTCAAAGGAGATTTAGATTACACACAACAAACTGATTACAGCTGTTCCTTGGGATTTCTTGGAGCGGTTTTTTTCCTGATCCCGAAACTTGATGATGTTATACTTGAGTAAGGGTTGGCGACTGATAGTGAGTGAGTGAGTTTGGTTTTACGCCGCTTTTAGCACGGCGTAAAACGGCGGGAACAGCAGTTATGGGCTTCACACATTGTACCCATGTCGGGAATCGAACCCGGGTCTTCAGCGTGACGAGTGAACGCTTTAACCACTAGGCTACCAGACCGCCCCTGGCGACTTATAATAAGGTCTTGGTAGGAGTAGTAAGGCCTGAAGGGAGGAGCGTAGGTCAAACATTAAGGCCAGGGGTGTTACTTCTCCCCCACCCCCACCCCCGAGGTCATACTACTCCTACTAATATTGAATTCTATGTCGTGAACCGACTTATAAAACGACATATTCTCAGACTGATATACGAATTAATAAAATATATTGTATTTTATTTATATCTATACCGCTGTTTAAAATCTGCCAGTCTAACGCTCATTGATTTGAGAGCACGATACTCAATTATCTTCTACTTTCGGCAAAATATTACGTGTATAAATGAACAATACTTGAAACGATCTTTATATTTAATAACTACGTTAAGGGGTTAAAGTTTCATGTGCAAGTTCTTAACACACATCAGAAATTTGACCATGCAATGCTGGAGGGAATATCAGAACCTCTGCCCAAGTGATGACTACTGAGCCTGCACTACTACAACCTGTTAGGCCAGTCACGTGGTCCTGTAGGGTCTGTTGTAAAATCGTGGCAATTAATGTAATAAAAAAATTAAAAAAGAGAAAAAAAATACATGATATCAAATGCAGCAACGGTGTACCAATCGCGTGTGTGTGTGTGTGAGGGGGGGGGGGGGGGGGGGGGTGTCAACGAACTCTCACAAACCATGTGCTCAGTGAACCTTTGTACTTCAGTGTTTGGCTCGGTGTTTGTTTTCTGTTTAACGCTGCACTCAGCAATATTCCAGCTATGTGAGTCTGTAGTCATTCTGTAAGTAATCGAGTCTGGACCAGACGATCCAGTGATTGATATCATTAGCATCGATCTACGCAATTGGGATGCATCAATCAAGTCAGCGAGCCTGACAACCCGATCCCGTTAGTCGCCTCTTCCGACAAGCATATAGTCACCTTTCACGTCAAGCATGGATTTTCTTTAACGCCCACTAAGCAATATTCCAGCTATATGACGGCAGTCTGTAAACAATCGACTCTAGACCAGACTACCCAGTGACTGACATCATGAGCATCAATTCACGCAATTGGGGTACGATGACTTGCATCAACCATGTCAGCGAGCCTGACCACCCAATCCCGTTAGTCGCCTCTTACGACAAGCATCGGTTGCTGAAGACGAACTGTATCCTGGAACTTCCCATTTATGGATTGAGGTAAGGAATTTATCTGAAATTAGAAATTGTTATATGTTCAGTGCACAAAATACCTCAACCCAGTCTCTACACAGGACAATAACATCGGGACTATATATAGCCGTTGCATACCAGTTGGAATAGAGTTCGGAAAACGAATAGGCCTATGTACGTAGTTAGTTTGTCTCTATGGACAATAGGAGTACAACGCTCTGTGAACTTGTTGAATTGTATGTAGACGTGGATTGCCAGTCACTAACCGTCACGTTAACCGCTGTACGACCTTTGCACTACAGTAAACTACGGTTATAACGAACTCAAAGGGACTACTAATTTTAGTTCGGTATAACCGTAGTTCGTTATAAGCATACATACATACCGCACTCGGCAATATTCCATCTATGTGACGGTGTTCTGTACATAATCAAGTCTGGACCAGACAATCCAGTGACTGACATCATGAGCATCAATCCACGCAATTGGGATAGGAAACATGCATCAACCAAGTCAGAAAACCTGACCACCCAATCCCGTTATAGTCGCCTCTAACGACAATTTTACGGCAAGCATAGGTTGCTGAAGACTTATTCTAACACAGATCTTCACGGGTGCATTACTGTAAGTAATAGTCCTTATCGTCGGAATGGCTTGTTTTCACGTAATCAGTATTATCACATATGCAGCTGTTTTCGTTAATTAATAATCACAATATTCCCTGATTCTATTTCAAGTGGCGGGGACTATTGCCGATTTTATAGTGCTAGCCCACTGGGGCACCATGGCGCAGTTTAACATGATTACCCCTCTCAGACACAGTATACTGACTCCGAGCCGACCAGTCCTTGTTTTAGCCCCTTAATGCCGAGCGCCAGACAGGGCAACAACAAGTGTGTCTTTTGATATGACGCGGCCGACCTTCCTCTCTCCGCGAAGACGCTATACCACTAGACCACGTAGGCTGTCCTACAACTTGAAGAAGCACTTTAAGTTTGACATCCAACACGTAAACATTTAAATGCAGTAACTTCTGAATATTGAGTTTTATAAACATCCTAATTTTTTCTATTCAATTTACTCTATGACTATGACTATGACCGACATGGATACAATGTGTTAAGAACATTTCTGGTGTTCCCCGACGTGATATTGCTTGAATATTGCTAAAAGCGGCGTAAACCAGACTCACTCACAGTGTATAGTCGTCTAAGGCGTCGCGATTCGCTGTGCTGAGATGCGTCTTTTGGCACGCCAGAAACCTGTGATTGTAGGTTCGAATCCCGGTTCGCCCGATTATGTTTCTAGGTTTGTCAGCACTATACCCGTGCTCGTGGGTTTCACCGAAGTGGTAAACGTCTGAGACCCGCATCCCTTCAAACTTTCCTCCCACATTAATTTTTAGCTGACACGACGTGATACAACTGGAATACTGTTAAAAGCGGCGTTAAACTCAACTAACGCACTCATGCAGTGCATCGAACCGTCAAACACTTACGTATATATGTCATGAACTAATTATTATTTTCCACTCTATTGGCATGGCTCGCTGATCATGAATTGGTTGAAGCATGTCATCGATCCCAATTGATGTTCATGATATCAATCACTGGATTATCTAGTCCAGACTCGATTATTTACAGACCGCCGTCATATAGCTGGAATATTGCTTAGTGCGGCGTAAAACAACAAACCAAAAACATGTAACACATAATCAGACTCTATTATATTATAGACTGCTATTTGTAATCTAAAATGATCTGAAAATAATTATAACTACCCTAAAAAGGTTGTCACCCTCATTAGACTTCAACACACGTTATGTCATACAAGCACTGTTGTATGTGTTTTTAAACAGAAAAGAAAATATTCCTCAATTGAAAGATTCTAAAGCATTTACAGCCAGTTCGGCTGGTAGACGCCGCACTAATCCATTTGCAGTTATGTCCCTTTTAAACATCATTATATGTTATAAGGGATTACATCTCCGAGAGTCAATGACACAAGATTGTCGCTCTTCTGCCAGTGAAGGCGAAAAAATGAAATTCACGTGACTATGAGAAAACAATCTGTGTCAGCGGATATCACATGAAGCTTTACTGTGTTGTTTTCATAAACACTTCAAAACAACTAGTAGAAATGTGTTGATACGTGTATGAATATACGATCAATTGATAGTTGACCACTTGTCAACGTTAGATCGGGAGTTTCAGCGCTTCTGTTTCCAACAGGTAACGTGACTTCTCTACCATGACTGTAGGCCAGTAGATCTAAGTTATGCTATCTCATCTATCGTGTCAGGGGAACACGTTCTTAGCGGTACACACTAGGCAACTCGAGTGCGACAGCGCACCAGGTCACAGTCGGCTGTTTCGAAACGTGTTTATGGCCTGACACCAACATTTGACATCATCAAACTTTCCGATAATGATCGTGATTATAGTTTATCCACGGACTGTGTGTCGATATTGACATAAGCCGGTTGGATCAGGACATTCTTTTGAAATGACACTTGACACACCTTCACCAGCTTGTTTGACACTGCTAGACGTCCATGTTCATGTGTGTGTCACTGGGTGATTTCGGTGCTTGTTTATATTTTAGGACCCTTGGGTGCGGATTATCAGCAGTTTGTTCATTTAAGAACTGACTTCAATATGTTTTATGTTTATCAGAGACCATATATATGGGTATATGGTCTCTGTGTTTATGGACGTAAAAATGTAAAAATTGGTCTGCATGCACACTGTAGATTGGTACAGTTAGTTAGATATATACCTCCGTATAATGCAAAAAACATATTTAAGTCAATTCTTATAAATAATAACAATAACTTCACAGACTGCTTAAAAACTATTTAGTCCTTATGCCAAAAAACCTTAACAGTACAAAATAAGTGACATCATTCAGTGCAAAATTGCAACACAAGCCTCGCCTACTCCATTACGAGGCAATCAGTAAACAGTAGTCTGTTAGGAGGCACAATCTCATTAAAATCAGATCTTAGTTCTCGCTTCCGCTATACAAAGATCTGAAGACATCCCATTCGGGGTTACGTCAGAACGACCTTTCATCCGACCAATCAGTCCGTCGCTTACCAGATTATAAAATGTGATTTCTAATCATGCAATCTTGAAAACTTTAACATGGGGTATTCCGAACGATAGTTACTCGTTTGACGACTGAATCCTTACAATCTCGACCATCTTTTAGCCATTCCAGAATGTTTTTTTGTTCAGTTTCAAATTTGTAATCAAGAATTTGTCAAAATATGTTTCGAAGCGTAGTTGCCAATTTGAAATTTGTGCCGTAAAGCACGAGAAAGCTGCCTTCTGCTTGGTCATTCCATTGGTCGGTCAAAGTTCGCGCAATTGTAATGAGATTGTTAGGAGGCATGGCCTAATTTTTGTTTAGGTTTATGAAAGCATAAATGCAAAAAATATTGCTTGGTTAGCCAATCAAATGCCATGAAATCACTTGCAATTTATTTATGCTAATATGTCCTTGGCATTCAAAGGAATACTGATGTCACATGTTAGGGTGCAGTTTAAGAAACTCAAACCTACTTGCACAGATTATACTTGATAAATGGGAGTAATGGTGACCCAAAGTATGTATGTTTTCTTTTTAGTGTTATTATCTACATTTAGGGGTCATGATATTTTTAAAGAAGTTTCATGTATATAGTGCACCCTTTTCTTTTTATGGGGGATATCCTCTGGAGAGTGAATAAGACAGGCAAACAATGAGTATTGACTCTTTTTCTCAATGCAGAGACATTTCCTTGAGCAAGTAACACCAGAAATAGCATCTCAGCTAACCTGCACTGAAATATGCAAGTTAGCTCTTTATAAAACCTTTTATGACTATGAAAAGTGCTCGTTGTTTATCTGGCCTTGGGTTTGTAAGTTATTTTATTCATTTTATGCATAATGTCATTCATTACTGTTAACACCTATAAGGATGCATCGGTAGATCGTGATTTTTTACTTCTCGATACAAGTATCTATCACAGTCGCACACTTAGAAAGACCCATGAAGATCCGAGGTAGAATAGGTCTTCAGCAACCCATGCTTGTCGTAAAAGGCGACTATGCTTGTCGTAGGAGGCGACTAACAGTATCGAGTGGTCAGGCTTGCTGACTTGGTTGATGCATGTCATCAATCCCACTTGCATGGATTGATGCTCATGATATCAATCACTGGATTGTCTGGTCAGACTTGATTATTTACAGACTGCCGTCATATAGCTGGAATATTGCTTAGTGCGGCGTTAAACAACAAATAAACAAATCTAAGGAAAAAATATTGATTCTGACCTTAAATGTTTGCTTTAATAACTGTTCCAATAAACACTGATAAGTAGTGCAAGTGAAAACATAAATATTTTCATTCATTACGCCATATTTGACACTGCCAACTGTAAATCATCAGTGTGCCAGGTATATTTGGCCACCCTGTCTTACGCACCACAGATAAGAGCAGATGCAAGTATCGTGATACATATCGGATCGTGAGTAAGGTATCTTGATACATAATTGGATTGCACAGTTAGTGTATCATCCCAGCCCTAATGAGGATCCAGGTTTGAATATACCAGATCCTCCATTGATCAGAATTTGATGGGATTTGTGGAGTTTCAAGTTACAAAATTACACTCTATTTAAGACTGTGCAGGTGGTTATGAGGAGAGTGCTAGGGATAGTTTATCTTGAACACAGATAATGGAGATGGAACTAAGCAAAAACCATTGCAGCAAAGTGAAAAGGTCTTCAGCAACTAATGCTAGGTAAAAGGCGACCTTGCTTGACATTGCTTGTCATAAGACTAAGAGGTTACTAATGGGATATTGCAGGCCCAAGACAATGATAGAGGAAACTGACACTCAGTCACCTACATCATCGTCATCATCAACTTCATCAGTATCACCGTCGACTACATCAGCAGCATCATCGACTACATCGTCTCCATCCAGATCCAGTCCAACCACTTCCCCGACTAGTCGTACTGTGGTTGTACCCACGGCAGTTGCCAATTCCCTTCCACCATGTCGAGTGTGTGGGGAAAAGGCAAGTGGATTCCATTATGGAGTCAACACCTGTGAAGCCTGCAAGGTGAGGACAAAACATCTCTCGTTTTAACTTGGTCTTAATATTATAGGACTGCAATACGCTTATTAAACGATGCATATTGCAATATTATTTCTGTGTTTTGGTATTTTGGGTAATAAAATATAAAAGTTTCATTATTATTATTCTTTAACCTAAAATCTTCACAGAAATTCATTTAAGAATTGACTTATGCTTTGAATGAGTTCAGTGGAGCGTGCACTTTCATAGAGTTAGGGCCAAACTGTGTGAAGATGGGAGCTTGCATCATTTCACCAATACAGTCTTGTGAAAAACGTATGAATGTGAAAATGTGTCGTTCATACACCTATGAACATTATCATGGTCATGTGACCGACCACTCGTCCAGTGGGAAAAAGCGTGTATCTTGTAAACTGCACTTTAAAAAAATATTCACGAATGATGTTTTCCTTTGAAATTTCGGTGAATTTAATGAAATGTTACATCGGTGCACTGGTGCATCGTGAGATTTCATGCGACGATACTATACATGATAATTTTTTTTCTGTATCGATACAAGAGGATACACTTGCTAAAATGTTACAGTACTGTACACAACACCCATTTCATTACTTTACAGGACCCTTGTAATTAGTAATCGGTGGGGGGGGGTGGGTAGCCTAGTGGTCGAAGCCTTTGCTCGTCACGGCGAAGAACCGGGTTCGATTCCCAACATGGGTACAATGTGTGAAGCCCATTTCTTGTGTCCCCTGTCGTGATATTGCTGAAATATTGCTAAAAGCGGCGTAAAACCATACTCACTCTGAACTCATACTTTCTGAACATATATGGCTGTCAGTGGTGTCGACATTGTTACAACTGTTTCTCTGATTAAAACCATACAAACCATATTTTTTTCTGCTTGCTCAAATTCAGGTTTTTTATTCAGGGGTTCTTCCGACGAAGTCTGCAGCGTAAAGACAAATACAAGTGCTCTGCATCTGGCCGATGCAAGATTGGTATGGGAAGACGCAGCACCTGCCCATCTTGCCGTTACGAGAAATGTATCGATGTCGGCATGTCTAAGACAGGTGAGCTAATATTTTAAACTTCTCTTTAGAGAAACAGGCAGAAAATGAGACCCAACATTGAATTATTGAATTGATGCTCTACATGCCCAGGACTGACAAAAGGTATCACAAAAGGAAGGCGAGATAAAAAAGAATAATTTGGAATTATGATCCACAAACTTGAAACTCGTGAAGATCCAGGGAAGAATAGGTCTTCAGCAACCCATGCTTTACATAAAAGGTGACTATGCTTGTCGTAAGAGGCGACTAACCAGATCGGGTAGTCAGGCTCGCTGACTTGGTTGATGCATGTTCTCGTATCCCAATTGCGTGGATCGATGCTCATGAGGTCAGTCACTGTTTTGCCTGGTCCAGACTCGATTATTTACGGACCGCCGTCATATATATAGCTTGAGTATTGCTCTGTGCAGCCTTAACCAACAAACAAACAATCAAACAGACACAAACAGGAGTATGCAACATTAAGTCATAACCAACTTGACCACAGCTATTTTTGGACTAGTTTATGTAAAATAGCTAGATTTGGCTAGAAATACAACAAGCTTCAAATGTCACGATATGACTATCTCCCAATTTGATACATATCACGATACTCTGTTTATGATACGACCTGTATCACAAATATTTACTTTGAGGCATATTTGAGTGAATGTTAATATTTGATAGGGCATGCAAACTATTAAAAAGTCTTGATACTTCCTGAATATCTGGTCTCATATTTGAAAATACATATCTTATTGCAATCAGTACTATATATTGGAAGAAACTTGAATGTCAACAACACCAGCTACAAAAAGCACTGGAACAGAAGTTAAGTCTTAAAACTGTTCATTGTACAATGTAGATATGGCATAAATAGATAATGATCAAATTGTATATTAATATGTATGTAGGACACATTTTGCAAACAAAGTCATGCCATTGCTGTTTTAAATGTCCCATGTATGAAACGAAACAGGATTAAAATATGAATAAAGAAATGGTTAAGATAATTGTGTATTGCGTATTGGATCGTCTGAGAATGTTATCGATACATCAATGTATTGGTGAATCATTACATCCGTAACAGCGAGTTCCTCTATATTGTCACCAATCTCAGCCTATTGGCTGTGTCCATTCCTGACAACTTGTTTAATTCACTGGACAAGATAACACCATGGTTTTCTTGTGGTATGATCACTTTTTGAAACTTCCAACCAGTTGGTATTGGTAAGGCCGATATAGAACTTGAACTTATTCAGGACTCTTGTCTGTATTGTCCAGGTTGTCTGTATTGTTAAGGGTCATCAGGACCATTGTCTGTATTGTTGAGGTCATCAGGACCATTGTCTGTATTGTTGAGATCATAAGGACCTTTATCTGTATTGTTGAGGTCATCAGGACCCTTGTCTGTATTGTTGAGGTCATCAGGAGCATTGTCTAAGTTGTTGAGGTCATAAGGACCTTTATCTATATTGTTGAGGTCATCAGGACCTTTATCTGTATTGTTGAGGTCATCAGGACCCTTGTCTGTATTGTTGAGGTCATCAGGAGCATTGTCTGTATTGTTGAGGGTCATCAGGACCCTTGTCTGTGTTGTGGAGGTCATCAGGACCTTTATCTGTATTGTTGAGGTCATCAGGACCCTTGTCTGTGTTGTTGAGGTCATCAGGACCTTTATCTGTATTGATGAGGTCATCAGGACCCTTGTCTGTATTGTTGAGGTCATAAGGACCTTTATCTGTATTGTTGAGGTCATCAGAACCCTTGTCTGTATTGTTGAGGGCATCAGGAGCATTGTCTCTATTGTTAAGGTCATCAGGACCATTGTCTGTATTGTTGAGATCACAAGGACCTTTATCTTTATTGATGAGGTCATCAGGACCCTTGTCTGTATTGTTGAGGGCATCAGGAGCATTGTCTGTATTGTTGAGGTCATCAGGAGCATTGTCTCTATTGTTGAGGTCATAAGGACCCTTGTCTGTATTGTTGAGGTCATCAGGACCCTTGTCTGTGTTGTTGAGGTCATCAGGACCTTTATCTGTATTGATGAGGTCATCAGGACCCTTGTCTGTATTGTTGAGGGCATCAGGAGCATTGTCTGTATTGTTGAGGTCATCAGGACCCTTGTCTGTATTGTTGAGGTCATAAGGACCTTTATCTGTATTGTTGAGGTCATCAGAACCCTTGTCTGTATTGTTGAGGTCATCAGGAGCATTGTCTGTATTGTTAAGGTCATCAGGACCATTGTCTGTATTGTTGAGATCATAAGGACCTTTATCTTTATTGTTGAGGTCATCAGGAGCATTGTCTGTATTGTTGAGGTCATCAGGACCCTTGTCTGTATTGTTGAGATCATAAGGACCTTTATCTTTATTGTTGAGGTCATCAGGAGCATTGTCTGTATTGTTGAGGTCATCAGGAGCATTGTCTGTATTGTTGAGGTCATCAGGACCCTTGTCTGTATTGTTGAGGGCATCAGGAGCATTGTCTGTATTGTTGAGGGTCATCAGGACCCTTGTCTGTGTTGTTGAGGTCATAAGGACCTTTTTCTTTATTGATGAGGTCATCAGGACCCTTGTCTGTATTGTTGAGGGCATCAGGAGCATTGTCTGTATTGTTGAGGTCATCAGGAGCATTGTCTGTATTGTTGAGGGCATCAGGAGCATTGTCTGTATTGTTGAGGTCATAAGGACCTTTATCTGTATTGTTGAGGTCATCAGAACCCTTGTCTGTATTGTTGAGGTCATCAGGAGCATTGTCTGTATTGTTAAGGTCATCAGGACCCTTGTCTGTATTGTTGAGATCATAAGGACCTTTATCTTTATTGATGAGGTCATCAGGACCCTTGTCTGTATTGTTGAGGGCATCAGGAGCATTGTCTGTATTGTTGAGGGTCATCAGGACCCTTGTCTGTGTTGTTGAGGTCATAAGGACCTTTTTCTTTATTGATGAGGGGCGGTCGGGTAGCCTAGTGGTTAAAGCGTTAGCTCGTCACGCCGAAGACTCGGGTTCGATTCCCGACATGGGTACAATGTGTGAAGCCCATTTCTGGTGTCCCCCGCCGTGATATTGCTGGAATATTGCTAAAAGCGGCGTAAAACCTCACTCACTCACTCACTCACTTTATTGATGAGGTCATCAGGACCCTTGTCTGTATTGTTGAGGGCATCAGGAGCATTGTCTGTATTGTTGAGGTCATCAGGAGCATTGTCTGTATTGTTGAGGTCATCAGGACCCTTGTCTGTATTGTTGAGGTCATAAGGACCTTTATCTGTATTGTTGAGGTCATCAGAACCCTTGTCTGTATTGTTGAGGTCATCAGGAGCATTGTCTGTATTGTTAAGGTCATCAGGACCCTTGTCTGTATTGTTGAGATCATAAGGACCTTTATCTTTATTGTTGAGGTCATCAGGACCCTTGTCTGTATTGTTGAGGTCATCAGGAGCATTGTCTGTATTGTTGAGGTCATCAGGACCCTTGTCTGTATTGTTGAGATCATAAGGACCTTTATCTTTATTGTTGAGGTCATCAGGACGCTTGTCTGTATTGTTGAGGTCATCAGGAGCATTGTCTGTATTGTTGAGGTCATCAGGACCCTTGTCTGTATTGTTGAGATCATAAGGACCTTTATCTTTATTGTTGAGGTCATCAGGACGCTTGTCTGTATTGTTGAGGTCATCAGGAGCATTGTCTGTATTGTTGAGGTCATCAGGACCCTTGTCTGTATTGTTGAGGGCATCAGGAGCATTGTCTGTATTGTTGAGGGTCATCAGGACCCTTGTCTGTGTTGTTGAGGTCATAAGGACCTTTTTCTTTATTGATGAGGTCATCAGGACCCTTGTCTGTATTGTTGAGGGCATCAGGAGCATTGTCTGTATTGTTGAGGTCATCAGGAGCATTGTCTCTATTGTTGAGGTCATAAGGACCCTTGTCTGTATTGTTGAGGTCATCAGGAGCATTGACTGTATTGTTGAGGTCATCAGAACCCTTGTCTGTATTGTTGAGGTCATCAGGAGCATTGTCTCTATTGTTGAGGTCATTAGGACCATTGTCTGTATTGTTCAGGTTCTCTGTATTGCTGAGGTCATCAGGACCATTGTCTGTATTGTTCAGGTCATCAGCAGGGGTGGAAATTTAAAAAAACACTTCACTTGCCATCGGACAAGTTTAAAGACAATTTTCACTTGCCCTGATTTCATTTTCACTTGCCCGAATAATTTCAAAATAAAACTTCAAATCATCAATATGTGTTTATCTCTTTCATCACCGTAGGCCGGTTTTCCGGCCAAGAAACATCGAGTCCCCAGACACCGTAGGCCGGTTTTCCGGCCAAGCCGTAGTCACGTCAAAATAGTATATATTTTTATGGACCTACCTGTATTATCATTCATTTATTAAATCTATCGCATTTCACAATGTCTGAAATACGTGTTCCATTTCAATTTTTTTATCGATAAATTAAAACATTATTCACTGTTTCCTGCGATGTTATTGAAAATAAATTTCTCGGACACACATTTCGACAACGGGTCCAAATCGAACATGTCAAAGAGCAAAATAAAGACGTTTTAAACAAATCTTTAAATATATTATACAAAGTAATAAAAAAAATCAACAAAAATATATCTAAAAGTAATCAAACTTACATCTAAGTTATTATTTCCATCTTTCCGTGCAATCGCGTGTAATGTAAGTCAAATGACATCTCGGCTTTCGTCGCCTTGAATTCTCGGCTCGGACACGATGTTTAATGCAAAAATATATGCATGAAAAATCTTTGTCACTGCTCGTAACCTAGCACGATACATTCACGAAGTTCCATATTTTTAATATATATCGTGATTTCCTGTTCAGAATAACACGATTTAACAAAAATCTTTCGCCAACTTCTGAAATTTATCAAACACGAGCTTGGTATCACACCTGTAATTTGATTGGCTGCCTGAGGTCACATGCTCAAAATTGACCAATCACGAAATTTGTAGCAGATTTCGGCAAGAATAGCGTCATTTGAAACCAATTTTAATCCAATGAAATCGCTTGTTATAACTACGGAAAAAAAACAGTCGATGTTATGAAAGCGCGATTTCCAGTAGTTAGACATGTAGACAGTGATAGTAATTTCAAATATATTACTTGCCTCCGGACAAGTTAAAGTAAGTGATTTTTTTGCCCGACCTTGTATTTCTACTTGCCCCGGGAGTCGGGAAATGGCAAATTTCCACCCCTGATCAGGAGCATTGTCTCTATTGTTGAGGTCATCAGGACCCTTGTCTGTATTGTTCAGGTCATCAGGAGCATTGTCTCTATTGTTCAGGTTGTCTGTATTGCTGAGGTCATCAGGACCCTTGTCTGTATAATTGAGGGTAATTAGGACCCTTGTCTGTATTGTTGAGGGTCATCAGGGCTATTGCCTGTATTTTTTAGGGTCATCGGAAGCATTGTCTGTATTGTTGAGGGCATCCGGACCCTTGTGTGTATAATTGAGGTTGTCTGTATTGATGAGGGCATCAGGACCCTTGTCTGTATTGTTGAGGTTCTGTATTGTTGAGGTCATCAGGACCCTTGTCTGTATAATTGAGGTTGTGTGTATTGTTGAGGCCATCAGGAGCATTGTCTGTATTGTTGAGGGCATCCGGACCCTTGTGTGTATAATTGAGGTTGTCTGTATTGTTGAGGTCATCAGGACCCTTATCTGTATTGTTGAGCTTGTCTGTATTGTTGAGCCCATCAGGAACATTGTCTGTATTGATGAGGGCATCAGGACCCTTGTCTGTATTGAGGGTCTGTATTGTTGAGGTCATCAGGACCCTTGTCTGTATAATTGAGGCTGGCTGTATTGTTGAGGTCATCAGGACCCTTATCTGTATTGTTGAGGCCATCAGGACCCTTGTCTGTATTGTTGAGGGTCTGTATTGTTGAGGTCATCAGGACCCTTGTCTGTATCGTTGAGGGTCTGTATTGTTAAGGGGATCAGGAACCTTGTCTGTATTGTTGAGGGTCTGTATTGTTGAGGTCATCAGGACCCTTGTCTGTATTCTTGAGTCCATCAGGACCCTTGTCTGTATTGCTGAGGTTGTCTGTATTGTCATCATTGCTAAAAAAAATCCAATCTTACCTTTTCTGCACTCAGGATACTCTAATGCTTCAGGTGGCGCCTCATTCTTGTTCTGTTTGTTTTTAATTTCCTCCTATGACGTTTATTTCAAAAGAAAAACTCCCAACAATATTTCTTTAGTTATTTATAATGACAGACTGAATGAAAATGTTGTGTTTTTTAAGTTAATTAAAACAACAGACTATAACTTGTGTCACAATGGGCACAATTGGGAAATTTAGGTGCATGTTTTCAACACAAACAGTGTCCACTATGCAGGTTTCTTGCGTCCTCTGAATGGGTGTCATTTAGGGTTTGGACGAGTCCAAATTTACTACCCAGGTATCCGACCCCAAATTACCCGACCCTACAAGGGTACCCACTGCAGGTCTCAAGAGTTGGGAACAAAATATCCGATTGGGAATTGTTTTACGCAGTCCTGGCAAAAACTATTAAGATACATTTATCAAACGATCAAATCATGCGTTATCTTTACTCAAACATATACAGGGAATGAGTGCATCGACAGAAAGAAATGTGGCCATTAGCGACTTGTAGTAACCACTGAGCTATAGTGAGTTTTTGTCATTAAACAATATATCCAGTGACTAACCACGGGTCCGGGTAGACCTCTGGGACCCGGGTCCTACACAGGACCCAGCCGACCATCAAACAAGTGACGACTTTTAGCACTGCATTGTTCACCATATAATCATATTTATCTGTCATAATACACAATTTCAAGTATGCATATGCATTATAATAATGTGAACCCAGCCTTAGAAATTTGATTTTCTTTTTTTACAGGTTACACACAACCAAATATTTTCCCATAGACTTCTATAGTAACGTTATATTTTTTTTTAAAATAACTAAGCATTCAACAGCTATTACCTATACGTGTGTGCACAGTTTGGCCTTAGAGCAGCAATAAAAACAAAAAATTGACTAGCTTAGCCAGCTCCGAGTACCGGAAGCTAAACACAACACCCCCAGTTTCACACCAAATGTCACCTACTTGAAAATAGCTGTGGTCACATTCAGCATAAGTCATCATGTTGAAAAAGACAGTACTAAATATAGAAAACTATGGTCAGTTTTAATAACTGGATGGATGTACATTTAAAAGACATAAAAATCTTACACAATATCCTCCAATCACAGCCTGCAGATATCTCTCGATCTGCACTGAAGGCTCCCTACGAAAACCGCACTGTCCGAACTGGTTCTGATTTGGTGTAGTAGAACCTTAAGACTAGTCTTGGTGGTCCAGGGTCCACTTGCACAAAGCGATCTTAGTGCTAAGATGATCATAACTCCCATACTTTAACATAGGCTTACAATAGTCTTAGCGCTAAGATCGTTTTGTGCAAGTGAGCCCAGATCACTTGTGGAAACCTAAATTTGGTTGCTAGTCCAGCTTGAACAAGACAAAATTATTTACTATATATGTTTACATATTCTGTCAGTTTTATTCAGTTCAAATTTGTAGTAAATTGAAGCATTGAGAACTGGTTCAGAATTATAACCCTCAAATGCTACGAGTCAATGAGGGCTACCATCAGTGTAATAGTCTCAGGCTAACAGACTAGATTAAATTCGGAAGTCTGTGAACATGGTAAGTGTGTGACGGGTAAAGGTGAAATGATACACTGTGATGAATCAGAAAGATTTGAATATGCTTAATTCTTCAATAAAAATCATTCACTTTTGTTAAATAATCTTAACGGTAGGGCATCAGCAAGTTAGTACTGGTGAACATTTTGGCCTGTTCGGCGTGGTTTCATCACCTACAGGTCTCCTTGATAAGGCTGTAGCCCGTGGGGGTTCAAGGTTAGAATTGGTCCCAAGCAAACTGTGCTTGTTGGGTGAGGTGACTTACTGGATCAGAAGGTCAGGCTCAGTGATTTGGTTCATGGTATGTCATCATACTTCAACCGCATGGATTCTTTGTCATATTATCAATCACTGGTTTGTCCTCCAGACTCGATTATTTACAGGATGCCATCGTTTAGCTGGAATATTGCTGAGTTCAACATAAACCAACAGATTATTGTTGACACCACACATGTTAAATCTTTGCTTCAGCCATCAAGACTGGCCGATACACACATGAGAAGCGAACCCAGGACATTCTGGAGGTGAAACAGCTAGAGCTTACACAAGACCACCACCCTAACATTACAACAGTGACTCAAGCCAAGACTGTCGAGGTGGCTCCTACACCACTTCAAGCCTCTGCTACAGCTACAAGCACAACCTCAAGAACCAGAGGAAGAGGGCAAGCAAGATCTTCAAGTTCCAGAGGACACCCTACAACACCATTGACAACACCAAGCCAAGCCCCAGAGCTGCCCATGACACCATGTCCCCCTGGCACATCACCGACAACATTGTGTACTGATACAGCCCAGGAAACAACATCTCATACTGTCACAGCAGAGGCAACAACAGCGCACACAGCACAGGCAACAACATCGCTCACAGCACAGGCATTAACATCGCACACACCACAGGCAACAACATCGCTCACAGCACAGGCATTAACATCGCACACAGCACAGGCAACAACATCGCTCACAGCTCAGGCAACATCGCTCTCAGCACAAGGAACAACATTGCACACAGCACAAGGAACAACATTACATGCTCCCCAAGTACAGGCAACGGCTTCATACATTGAGACAGCAGCGGCAACAATATCACAGACACTTCTTGAAAAGGCAACAACATCACAGACTTTTCTAGCAGAGGCAACAACATCACAGACACTTCTTGAACAGGCAACAACATCACAGACTTTTCCAGGACAGCAAGCAGCAACATCAAACACAGCCCAGGCAGCACTTGTACACCAGGAAGGATTTGAATCATTTCCTTTCACCCCAATGAGTCCCACTGGTGCTGCATCCTGCGATCTGGAGCCACCATATTGTTATGCTACTACTTTGAACGATTGCCTTCCTTTGTTGCCCCTAGCAACACCAATGCCACCTACCCCAGAAGAGCCAATTGACTGTGACTCCATCATTGCCAGTCTGATCGAAGCTCACCATACATTCATTTGTTCCAGCACGTACATGTCCAAGGCATATCTATTGGAGTGTCAGAAAAAACATTTTGTAAGTTACGAATTTATCAGTTCTAATCAAGTTCTGATCATGATAACATCCGTCCCAATGATGGTCATAGGTAGAATAGGTCTTCATCAACCCATTCTTGCCCTAAAAGGCGACCATGATTGTCACATGGGGTAACTAATGGGATCGGGTTGTCAGGCTCTCTGACTTGGTTGATGCATGTCATCGTATCCCAATTGCGTAGATCGATACTCATGATGTCAATCACTGGATTGTCTGGTCCAGACTTGATTATTTACAGACCACTGTCATATAGCTGGAATACTGCTGAGTGCTGCGTTAAACTACAAACAAACAAACCAGTTTGTTTACACAAGTTGATCAACCAGTTATGTCGGTTACAAATGGCGTATGACAGTGTCTTTGCTCTTGGAAACCTGCCCAAAAATCACAACACTGCTTACCCGCGTCGTGAAAATGTCCAGTACAGTAACGTCAGTGGTGGTGAAACCATAACACTGCTCGTCCTCGTCGTGAAAATGTCCAGTACAGTAACATCAGTCGTTGTGAAACCATAACACTGCTCGCCCGCGTCGTGAAAATGTCCAGTACAGTAACATCAGTTGTTGTGAAACCATGACACTGCTCGCTGCGTCGTGAAAATGTCCAGTACAGTAACATCAGTCGTTGTGAAACCATAACACTGCTCGCTGCGTCGTGAAAATATCCAGTACAGTAACATCAGTCGTGGTGAAACCATAACACTGCTTGCCTGCGTCGTGAAATTGGCCAGTACAGTAACATCAGTCGTTGTGAAACCATAACACTGCTCGCCCGCGTCGTGAAAATGTCCAGTACAGTAACATCAGTTGTGGTGAAACCATAACACTGCTCGCCCGCGTCATGAAAATGTCCAGTACAGTAACATCAGTCATGGTGAAACCATCACACTACTCGCCCGCGTCGTGAAAACGTCCAGTACAGTAACATCAGTTGTGGTGAAACCATAACACTGCTTGCCCGCGTCGTGAAAATGTCCAGTACAGTAACATCAGTCATGGTGAAACCATCACACTACTCGCCCGCGTCGTGAAAACGTCCAGTACAGTAACATCAGTCGTGGTGAAACCATAACACTGCTTGCCCGCGTCGTGAAAATGTCCAGTACAGTAACATCAGTCGTTGTGAAACCATAACACTGCTCGCTGCGTCGTGAAAACGTCCAGTACAGTAACATCAGTTGTGTTGAAACCATAACACTGCTCGCCCACGTCGTGAAAACGTCCAGTACAGTAACATCAGTCGTGGTGAAACCATAACACTGCTTGCCCGCGTCGTGAAAACGTCCAGTACAGTAACATCAGTCGTGGTGAAACCATAACACTGCTCGCCCACGTCGTGAAAACGTCCAGTACAGTAACATCAGTCGTGGTGAAACCATAACACTGCTCGCTGCGTCGTGAAAATATCCAGTACAGTAACATCAGTCGTGGTGAAACCATAACACTGCTCGCCTGCGTTGTGAAAATATCCAGTACAGTAACATCAGTCGTGGTGAAACCATAACACTGCTCGCCCGCGTCGTGAAATTGGCCAGTACAGTAACATCAGTCGTGGTGAAACCATAACACTGCTCGCCCACGTCGTGAAAACGTCCAGTACAGTAACCTCAGTGGTGGTGAAACCATAACACTGCTCGCCCACGTCGTGAAAACGTCCAGTACAGTAACATCAGTCGTGGTGAAACCATAACACTGCTCGCCCACGTCGTGAAAACGTCCAGTACAGTAACATCAGTGGTGGTGAAACCATAACACTGCTCGCCTGCGTTGTGAAAGTGTCCAGTACAGTAACATCAGTGGTGGTGAAACCATGACACTTCTCATTATATTCAAAAGATTGCGCTGACTCGTGTAAAAACACTTTGAACCTGTACAATCTTTGTCGTTGACCTGACCTATGTCATTTGAATATGCCTTACTTGGAATTTCCTGCTTTTCATTTCATGGAAGTTTGCTGATTAGTTCAAAGGTAGGGCTACTCGCATTGATGTCATGACACATTTTAGGACAGGAGTCAGCCCTCGCATTAATTTGGTGACCGATTTACAGTATTCAGTTTTACGTCTCAGGACTCAGGACGTTATGGATGACATTAAATGGCTTACGCCTGTCAAGGTTCACATCTTTATAGTACCGAGTCATATTACATCACTCTACTACCATGATCTGCAGACAAGAACAGGGGTGGTTGGGTAGCCCAGCGGTTAAAGTGTCCACCGACCCATGTTCCATTCCCCTCAAGGGTACAATGTGTGAAGCCAATCTTGTGTTCCCTGCCATGCTGGAATATTGCAAAAAGTGGTGTAAACTAACTAACTCACTCACTCACTCACTCACTCACTCACTCACCAATTGTACCTTTATACCTGATTCATGAACTTGAATTATCTCCATCTCTTACAGGATGGGTATCAGAGTAAGGAGGAGATGTTTGGGTCGCTGCCGACATTGTCCCAAGACCAGTACATGGACATCTACGAGCAGACAGGGATGGACATTGACAACCGGCAGGAAATGATGGGTTATTTTGCCACCCACATGGAGAACGGAATAAGGAAGTACATCAATTTTGTCAAACTCATCCCAGGATTCACAGACCTTCACATTGAGGACCAGGCTAGTTTAGTTAAAGGTAACGTCTGTTGGTCAGCACTGGGGCTGTTACTAGAGAATCTCACCCTCGTGTCTTTTGATATCAAATATGGATTTTTTTCCACTTTTATGAATGAGTGTTGATATATTTGATATCAAAAGACACGAGAGTAAGATTTTATTCATCATCCAACATCATTCTTCCTACTTTTTCAGTTTGTAGACAGTAATAAACAGTGTCTTAAGTGTAAAAAGTACTGCTAACAGCTTCAATAACAGAGCCATTAGTGATGTCCTTTGATTGTGACGTCATGGTAACCAATGACGTCACAGTGGTCTGCAAAGCATTGTGATGCAACTTCTTTGCAGCGATATCTACAGTGTAGATATCGCTTGATCTCACCCAAGCGATATCTCCTGTGGGAGCCAGTTTTGGATGATAAAATTCACTCGCGTATTTGGTGAATCACACCGTATCCATTCATGAATTGAATTCATTATTCGTGGCCACTAGAATCAAATAATTATTTCTAAGCAATCATGTGCATTTACATACCCTGTACCTAACCATATCCATAACATATTATATGCATAGATTTCTTCAAAGACAACACTCTTATAATATTTACAGTATTTTACAGTACTGTGGTCACTGGCCATTGTCGTATTTGAGCAGATACTAGTACCTTGATAAGTGAAGTATATAAGTGTTTAATATATTATTAATAATTAACAAACCATGTCAAATAATTTATGTAGTTATTGTTTTTCTGAATATAACAAATAATACATCAACTGCTGACTTGTTGTTGTATTCGTGAATTAATATTCGCATTCGTTACGCTACATTCATGATACGACTCGTACTCGCCTCATAGTGTATTCATAGCAGCCCTAGTCATCACACTTGTCAAGGTAGGGGGTGGTCATGTGGTTTAAGCTTCGCTTGTCACGATGGGTTTGGGCCCCGGTTTGATTCAATACATTGTCCAATGAGGGAAGCACGTTTCTTGTGACCCTCATCACTCACTCACACAATCGGGCGGTTGGGTAGCCTAATGGTTAAAGCGTTTGCTCATTCGATTCCCAACATGGTTAATGTGTGATACATCTTCGTGGGGCAGTCGGGTAGCCTAGTGGTTAAAGCGTTCGCTCGTCACGCACAAGACGCCACATTTCATTTCAGGTGTCCCCTGCAGTGATATTGCTGGAATATTGCTAACAGCAGGCTTTCCTTCCACATTAAGCTGACACGCTGCGTTTTAACTGGAATACTGTTAAAAGCGGCGTTAAACCCCACTCACTCACTCACTCACTCACTCACTCACTCACTCACTCACTCACTCACTCACTCACTCGTCTAGCATTAATTTTACAAATGAGGAATAAGTTTAGTGTCCGTTAACTTATATCAGTAATGACATGTATGGAGGCCTGTAAGTTGTACTGTGCCCTTTTGCGTGTTGTAGCCTCCCGGTTTGAGTTCTGGCTGTGGGGCACCTTCTCAGGCTACAACATGGACCTAATGGTGGCATGCATGCCGAACGGAAAGTGCCTACATCGCAGTGAGATGTGCAAGATTTGGGACGACGACTTTATTGTTGAAACATTTCGTTTTGCACAAACTCTGAAAAAATTACCGTTACTGCCAGACGAATTTGTTATTGTGAAGTCTATTTGTGTGACATTTGCTGGTGAGTATATGTTGTTTTGTTGTTTGAATGCTTGGCCCAATGATGCAATCTAGATTTCTATCATATTTCCTTGTCAATAGCGTAGAGATTCTCCCCCGAGTGTCTTTTGATACCAAATATATCTACACGAGTCAATAAACGTTTATTAGACCCGTGAAGATCCGGGGTAGAATAGGTCTTTAGCAACCCATCCTTGCCGTAAAAGGTGACTATGCTTGTCATAAGAAGCAACTAAGGGGATGGGGTGGTCAGACTCGCTGTCTTGGTTGATGCATGTCATTGTATCCCAATTGCGTGGATCGATGTTCATGATGTCAATCACTGGACTGTCTGGTCCAGACGCAGTTATTTACAGACTGCCATCATATAACTGGAATATTGTTGAGTGCGACGTTAAACAACAAACAAACAAACAATAAAACTTTGAGGCTTGCCTGACTATCAGATTCTATTTATCATCTGAAACCATTCCAACTTCATTAGTTTGTAAATAGTAATAACCAGTGTCTTAAGTCTTAAAAGTACAGCTAACCATCTTCTGTGGCAGAGATGTCATTTGATTGTGACCTCATGGTAGATGGTGACATCACCATTGTCTGCAAAAGCATTGTGATGCAATTTCACCCAGAACAGATCCCCAGTTGCTCATGTTTGTCATTGAGAGGAGTAATATGGGGATCAGGTGGTCATCTTTGTGACTTGTCGGACTTTGTACCATCATACATGAGGATTCTTAGTTATAATTGGTCCCTGACCTAGTAAGTCGTAAGAGACGACTTAAAGGACCAGGTGGTCAGACTTGGTAAATTGGTTTATGGCATGTCCACATATCCTGTCTACATATTGGTTGAGATTCATGTGTGTGTATCTTTGTGTGCAGATTGGTGTGAGTTGAGATACATGTGTGTGTATCTTTGTCTGTGTGCAGATTGGTGTGAGTTGAGATTCATGTGTGTGTATCTTTGTCTGTGTGCAGACCGGTGTGAGTTGAGATTCATGTGTGTGTATCTTTGTCTGTGTGCAGATCGGTGTGAGTTGAGATTCATGTGTGTGTATCTTTATCTGTGTGCAGACCTGTGTGAGTTGAGATTCATGTGTGTGTATCTTTGTGTGCAGACCGGTGTGAGTTGAGATACATGTGTGTGTATCTTTGTGTGCAGATTGGTGTGAGTTGAGATTCTTGTGTGTGTATCTTTGTCTGTGTGGAGACCAGTGTGAGTTGAGATTCATGTGTGTGTATCTTTGTGTGCAGATTGGTGTGAGTTGAGATACATGTGTGTGTATCTTTGTTTGTATGCAGAACGGTGTGAGTTGAGATTCATTTGTGTGTATCTTTGTCTGTGTGCAGATTGGTGTGAGTTGAGATTCATGTGTGTGTATCTTTTGATGCAAATTGGTGTGAGTTGAGATACATGTGTGTGTATCTTTGTGTGCAGATTGGTGTGAGTTGAGATTCTTGTGTGTGTATCTTTGTCTGTGTGCAGACCGGTGTGAGTTGAGATTCATGTGTGTGTATCTTTGTCTGTGTGCAGACCGGGGTGAGTTGAGATTCATGTGTGTGTATCTTTGTCTGTGTGCAGACCGGTGTGAATTGAGATTCATCTGTTTGTATGTTTGTCTGTGTGAAGATTGGTGTGAGTTGAGATTCATGTGTGTGTATCTTTGTCTGTGTGCAGACCGGTGTGAGTTGACATTAATGTGTGTTTTCTTTGTCTGTATGCAGACCGGTGTGAGTTGAGATTCATGTGTGTGTATCTGTGTCTGTGTGCAGATTGGTGTGAGTTGAGATTCATGTGTGTATCTTTATCTGTGTGCAGACCGGTGTGAGTTGAGATTCATGTGTGTGTATCTGTGTCTGTATGCAGACCGGTGTGAGTTGAGATTCATGTATGTGTATCTTTATCTGTGTGCAGACCTGTGTGAGTTGAGATTCATGTATGTGTATCTTTGTCTGTGTGCAGACCGGTGTGAGTTGAGATTCATGTGTGTGTATCTTTATCTGTGTGCAGACCGGTGTGAGTTGAGATTCATGTGTGTGTATCTTTGTCTGTGTGGAGACCGGTGTGAGTTGAGATTCATGTGTGTGTATCTGTGTCTGTGTGCAGACCGGTGTGAGTTGAGATTCATGTGTGTGTATCTTTGTCTGTGTGCAGACCGGTGTGAGTTGAGATTCATGTATGTGTATCTTTGTCTGTGTGCAGACCGGTGTGAGTTGAGATTCATGTATGTGTATCTTTGTCTGTGTGCAGACCGGTTTGAGTTGAGATACATGTGTGTGTATCTTTGTCTGTGTGCAGACTGGTGTGAGTTGAGATTCATGTATGTGTATCTTTATCTGTGTGCAGACCGGTGTGAGTTGAGATTCATGTGTGTGTATCTTTATCTGTGTGCAGACCGGTGTGAGTTGAGATTCATGTGTGTGTATCTTTATCTGTGTGCAGACCGGTGTGAGTTGAGATTCATGTGTGTATCTTTGTCTGTGTGGAGACCGGTGTGAGTTGAGATTCATGTGTGTATCTTTGTATGTGTGCAGATCGGTGTGAGTTGAGATTCATGTGGGTATCTTTGTTTGTCTACAGACCGGTGTGAGTTGAGATTAATGTGTGTGTATCTTTGTCTGTGTGCAGATTGGTGTGAGTTGAGATTCATGTATGTGTATCTTTGTCTGTGTGCAGATCGGTGTGAGTTGAGATTCTTGTGTGTGTATCTGTGTCTGTGTGCAGATCGGTGTGAGTTGAGATTCTTGTGTGTGTATCTGTGTCTGTGTGCAGACCGGTGTGAATTGAGATTCATGTGTGTGTATTTGTTTTCTCTATCTGTCTACAGACCGGTCTGTGTTGAAGGATCGTGCAATGGTGGAGCAGATACAGTGGCGCCTTGTCCAGTGCTTCCTGCACCTTCTCAAGAAGAACCACAAATCAGAAAAGGGGTTATTTGCCAAGGTCATGGACAGAATTATGGAACTGCGAACTCTTACGGAATTGAATAACAAACTTGCCCGAAAAATGCATATATGGCCAGCCATACAACAGAGTCCATTGTTGGTAGAAATGATTTCTATGTGAAGAATACAAGAATCAGGACATCCATAATTCCAGAACCTAATGTGGCTGGTATGTGCTTCTGACATTCCACACAAATGGTGTTTCTTTGTATGGTTTTGTGTGCGTTTTCAATCATCTGTATTGACATTGTCAATTCTTCACAGGTTTGAATACACCTCCAATAACCATGAATATGGATATATAAGTATGCAAATTAGATAGTGGAAGTGGAAGTGGGACTTTTTTCGCCGGTGAACATGAGCAGGTGTTTTCAAACAACATGGATTCCTTTGATGTTGGAGACAATGTTTTAATAGATCAAAGGGGAGGTGCTACAGTGATACCAGTGTTGCCAAATGGATATTTCAGGTTACAGGTTGATGGTACCGAATTTGATTTTGACTGTGATGAATGCAGATTATCCAAAATTCCCTGTGACCAACATTTCGTCATCAAAACACCATCGTCGAGAACGGCGAAGCCTAACGATGCCTGAAGTAGATTTGTCGCTGCTGAGGACGGCATGATTGATAGCGTGATCCTTGACAGTCAAAACAGAAACACAGCCAAGAAAACTGTTTGATAACTTTCGAAAAAAGTCCAAAATGAATTTTGCCAAAGGCATGAAATACACCCAAACAAACTAGACACACTTCTATGCAAGTTTATGTAAGTGTTTGAAAAACAAATGGGGAAAATTATGAACCAAACTGTCTCCACCAGGTTTCAGCATCAAGAGATCACCACAATGCAAAGGGTCTGGCTTTCCCTCACGTCACCCTTTGAATTTTCAAGATCACGGGAGGTTTTAGATGGGAGGAAAATTTAACTGAAGAATAAAGGGTATGGCAACGTACCGAGGAGAACTGATCCAATTAGGGATACAGAGATCGAATCCCTGTGGCAGTCTTGATCCGTTGGAATTAGTATTTCGATGAGCATAATATACTGTCTATGGATCTACAACACAATCCCTTTTTAAATTTTGTGTCAATGATCACTAAAACATGTGTTGGGGGATGTAATATCTTGAAGTTTCCACGAAACAAGTAAAGAATAAGTCTGGTGAGAATCCTCGTGATTGTCATATCGTAAGGCCCAAAATGTCTAATGTTGCTGATCTCTCTCGGTGCCCTGTGCAGGTATACAGGTGGTATGCATCTTTAGAGATGGTGATCCCTTTTAAGTCGCCAGTCAGCACTCTCCGATTATACCGGTAAATGTTTCTGGTGGTATCAACACTATGTTTGATGGCAACATTACTGGTGGAAACATAACGATTAATGACGCTGACTAAAGCATAATGCGACCTCTCTACCATGAGACATCCTCAAGTGAGAGTGCAGGTTGATTTGAAAGATAAATATCAGTGAAATTATGCCAGAAATAGGATCAAATGGCACAGAATCGTTGTTGTTACCGTCATTAAAGTTTCAATTATTCTACAAAACTCTGTTCAAGTATTTTGTTTTAAATAGTTAATAGGCTGCTTATTTTGGTTCACACGGAAATGGAAAACATATCACTACGCACAATTTATATGTAAGATTTTCGACAAGTTTCTGATTTTAATTTTGATGCATTTATTTCTTCAAATTTTGAGGAAAAAAACCAAGATGTTCGATATTGACCTAATATGAGACCATATACTGTCAGTAACAGCCATCTTGGATTTTCCACCCCCCACCCCTCTCACATATTTCACATGTAAATGCTGGTGCCGAAATTCGTTTTTTGACACTGTTTTGTGTTTTACTATTATTAATTGTGATGTTCAAGGACATTATCTGTTTTTAGATCACGTTCGTGGCTCTATTGATAAAGATTATCATTAAAATTTTCAACCAGGTTTGGCCGCTAAGGTTTGAAGAGTGGTCTCCCTTTGACATCAGCAATGGCAATAGCTGGTAGCATCGATGAGGAAATCTTTGATTAAAGGCAAAATGTACAAAATGGATACCAGAGAGTGTAAACGTTTTGGCATAATAAATTTGTTATGGTGTCTTTAGTTGCCGTATACGGTGTCATATTAGGTTAGCAGAAAAATATTGGGCGAAGCTGACTAATAACCGTTGTAGTAGTGACTGGTCTGGTCAAATAATTAAATGAGGCTTTGTATAATAATATTTTCTAGGCTATGTATATGATATATTGCCTGGGTTTGGTTGCCCTAACTAAAGGCAAAACTTTGAGTAGGGTTCCAATGTATGGCCAAAGATAATGTTACTTTGTGGTAAAGACAGACTACAGTGAGCACTAAGGACTGATGTTAGAACAATTCTTGTCTCATTCTGTGGATAACTGATATGATTTTGACGATCACTGGTGCTACTACTGGTGGACCAGGTTTACCTAGATGATAGATCTGGTAATAAGAATGGAGATTGATAGAGTGTTCTCGTGTTCATGTGTTCATGTTTCAACCATAAGTGCAATTGAAGTGAACATCTTGAAGTTCATGGTTTGTTTTGCTTGTTGATCTTAGAATCCTTGTGACAGGGGCCCTGTTCTACAGAGGATCTTAGAATCCTTGTGACCCGAGCCCTGATACACAAAGGATGTTAGAGCTACGACTATCGGACGTCAATATCAAATCATCGGCGTTATAATTGACTTGGCGCTAAGATCGCTTTGAGGCAAGGGTCCCTAGGAGATACAAAAATCCTCTGGCGTTTTGGTCCATAAGATAACATCATATCTAACCATGACAGCTGTTGAGATACAGAGTGTTTATATGTTTGCTTGTTGTGTAACGCCGCACTCAGCATTATTCCAGCTATATGACGGGGGTCTGTAAATAATCGAGTCGGGACCAGACAATCCAGAGATTGATATCATGAGCATCTATCTACACAATTGGGATACGATGATATGCATCAACCAAGTCAGCGAGCCTGACCACCCGATCCCATTAGTCGTCCCTTATAACAAGCATAGTCGCCTTTTACGGCAAGCATGGGTTGCAGAAGACCTATTCTACCCCGGATATTCACAGGTCTAAAGTTTCATGGAAATAGTGATGGTTAGGTATTGCTAATTTTCATTATTACTGCTAATCAGAGGAAAACTAAACAGATACAGGTCTGAAATGAAGCTTTATAGGACAAGTTTCAGGTAAGTTTTGTCACTGTTAGACTTGATAAGGTGTGACATAGGCTGCTTTCATAGGCCTGACCACAGATTACTTTTAACAATATGCAAGAAGTACGAGCAACTGGTTCTTGTTCAGAATGGTCTTCAGAAGCCCATGCTTGTAAGAGGCGACTAACAGGATCGGATGGTCATGCTCGCTAAGTTGGTTGATGCATGTCATCGTATCCAAATTGCGTGGATCTATGCTCATGATGTCAATCACTGGATTGTTTGGTCCTGACTCCATTATTTACAGACGGATGTCGTATGGATGGAATATTTCTGAGTACGGCGTTAAACAACAAACAAACAAAAACTGTTCTTGCTCAGGTTTTGGCTCTCTTTATAATCATGTGTTATAATGTGGTACATAGTTGCACTGTTTATCGGCAGGATAATGTCATGTCTGCAAAGAACTGTATAACAGTATGTTATTGCATAAGAGTGTCTCATCTTACGCTTGATTGTTAGAGTTACAATCTCATTAAAATCATATCTTAGTTTTCGCTACTGCTAAACAAAGATCTGAGGACATCCCATTACGGTTCACATCAGAACGACCTTTCGCAAACTTTGACTGATCAATGAAATGACTGACAAGAAATTGACATTAGCCAATCAGAAGGCAGCCTTGAGCTTTACGACACTAGTTTTAAACTGACGACTACGCTTCGAAACATATTTTAACGTATTCTCGATTAAAATTTTTAAAAACATTCTGGAATGGCTTATAGATGGCCTAGATTGTATGGATATAATCATATAAAACCCGTAACTGTCATTCAGAATAACCTCTGTTAAATATTTCAAGGTTGCATGATTAGAAAACCCATTCTGTCTGTCACTTTCGTGACCCGTAATGGGATGTCCTCAGATCTTTGTTTAGCGATAGCGAGAACTAAGATCTGATTTTAATCAGATTGGTTAGAGTTAGTACAGAGGGGAGTGTAGTATGGCTTGAAATTTGTCTTTTATCTGAGTATGGTTTGGGACCCATTTCATCTTGTTAATTTGAGACACTCCAGTACACAGAAATATAATCTCAATACATAAATATTGAAAACATTTTGAAGCAAATCAGTCCCAGATACTTCTGTGGATGTGTTGTGGATACACAGAGTGTCTCCAGATCTCAAACAATTTGAACTCGGTGTAATGTTGGTGGTTCCAAGGACTTCTAAGTTGGCAAGGTTTCACTGTACATACCGTATTCGACGTAATAAGCGCCCAGGGCGCTCTCAAAATTAGAAATAGGGGGCTCTTATCAGAATATTATTTTGGTGTTAAAAGATCGCAGATTTCGTTGTTTATGCTGACTGCCTGAAATGTTTATATATGACAGATATATTTTTCCAGGACTTAAATGCCCATAATTAAGGGTACATATTATACACGAATAAATAAGTTTTGTGTACATTGATCAATCGGAAGGGGTGCTAATTTAGATTGTTCACTAGCCAATATATTAGCAAATATCGCCGTGGGCGCTTATTAGAGCGGGGCGCTTATTACGTCGAATACGGTATATTGGTTCAGGTTAAGACAATCTGATAGTTTTAGAGAATGTCATTGAAATACTTTTTATCATTATTTTAACCCTGGGAGTAAATGTATTCGCATAATGTCTAAGGGTGATCTTGTTATGTTTTTGAGAGTTGAATATTTTTATGAATTTTTAACCAACTTACAGACCATGCAGGATGGGTGGAAATATGTAGTTCTGTGGAAATATATCATGTTGTTGCATCCATCAACCCAGTGCCTTAGAAAATATTATGTAAATAATTATTCATTGATCACCAATGTATATATGTTGACATTTCCAACACATTTATGTGGACAACTTCCCTTGAACTATGGATGAAATATGACCAGTTGATATACCTGTATATCAACATTAATAACCTCCATCATGTTTATATGAACATTCATTGATTATCTTTATATAATCATTTGCTCATTGAGGACCTATAGCTATATATGACCGTCAGTCGTTCATTTCCTATGGACTGTTATTCATTGATGATCTTCATATAAACATTTTTTCTTTGATGATCTTCATATGGACATAATTGTTAATGACCTTCGTATGGACCATTATTCATCCTGACTTTCATATGGACAATCATTGGTTAAAATTGATTGATGACCTTATTGTGGACATTATTCATTGGTGTATAAGTGGACATTCATAAAGACCTCTATGTGGACATTATTCATCCAGTATATGTGGACATAATTCATTGATGCAAAAGTGGACATTCATACTGACCTGTATGTGGACATAATTCATTGACTTAATGTAGACATTGGTCATTGGTGTATAACTGGACATTCATAATGACCTGTATGTAGACATAATTCATTGACTAAATGTAGACATTGATCATTGGTGTATAAGTGGACATTCATAATGACCTGTATGTAGACATTATTCATTGAATATTTGTGGACATTATTCATTGATGTATATGTGGAGATTATACATTTATGTATATATGGACATTATTAATTTATGTATATATGGACATTATTCATTTATGTATATGTGGACATTATTCATAATGGCCTATATGTGGACATTATTCATTGATGTATATGTGGGCATTATTCATTGATGTATATTTTTAATGATGGCCTATTCGAGAAATATTTCATTGATGTATATGCGGACATACTTCATTAATGTATATGTGGACATTATTCATAATGGTCTATATGTGGACATTTTTCATTGATGTACATGTGGACATTATTCATAATGGTCTATATGTGGACATTATTCATTGATGTACATGTGGACATTATTTGTAATGGTCTATATGTGGACATTATTCATTGATGTATATGTGGACATTATTCATAATGGTCTATATGTGGACATTATTCATTGATGTACATGTGGACATTATTCATAATGGTCTATATGTGGACATTATTCATTGATGTACATGTGGACATTATTCATAATGGTCTATATGTGGACATTATTCATAATGGTCTATATGTGGACATTTTTCATTGATGTACATGTGGACATTATTCATAATGGTCTATATGGGGACATTATTCATTGATGTACATGTGGACATTATTCATAATGGTCTATATGTGGACATTATTCATTGATGTACATGTGGACATTATTCATAATGGTCTATATGTGGACATTATTCATTGATGTACATGTGGACATTATTCATAATGGTCTATATGTGGACATTTTTCATTGATGTACATGTGGACATTATTCATAATGGTCTACATGTGGACATTATTCATTGATGTACATGTGGACATTATTTGTAATGGTCTATATGTGGACATTATTCATTGATGTATATGTGGACATTATTCATAAGGACCTATGTGCAGAAATAT